AATAGCTCTCCCTCCGAATCATCCCGACTTGGCTGCTTCCTACAACAGCATCGGTAATGTGTATCAAAACATGGGCGAATACTCGAAAGCACTCTCATCGTACGAATGATCACTTGAAATTCGAAAAATAGCTCTCCCTCCGAATCATCCTGACTTGGCTACTTCCTACAACAACATCGCTATTGTGTACAAAAATATGGGCGAGTACTCCAAAGCACTTTCATCGTACGAACGATCACTTGAAATCCGAAAAATAGTTCTCCCTCCGAATCATCCCGACTTGGCTGCTTCCTACAACAATATTGGTATCGTGTATGATAGCATGGGTGTGTATTCGAAATCACTTTCATCGTACGAACGATCACTTGAAATCCAGAAAATAGCTCTCCCTCCGAATCATCCCGACTTGGCTGCTTCCTACAACAACATCGGTGCGGTGCATAATAGCATGGGCGAATACTCGAAAGCACTCTCATATTACGAAAAAGATCTCGAGATCAGCCTGAAAGCTCTCCCTCCGAATCATCCGTCGTTGGCTGCTTCCTACAACAACATCGGTGCGGTGTATGATAATATGGAAGAATACTCGAAGGCACTTTCATCGTACGAACGATCACTTGAAATCCAAAAAGTAGCTCTCCCTCCGAATCATCCCGACTTGGCTACTTCCTACAACAACATCGGCATTGTGTATAAAAACATGGGCGAGTACTCACAAGCATTTCGATATTACAAAGAAGCCGAAGAGATATGGAAAAAATCACTGCCATCAAATCATCCGCATATTGCACTTGTGAAAAGTAACATTGAGATTGTGAAAAACAAAATGTAGCTCGTTTTTTCTTAAACCAAAAATAATAAATTGGCCTTCTTGAGTACTTGACTCGCCGAAGCGCATCAGCTGCAAAATTTTGCTCACGTGCGACCAGGAATACTCTCTGTATCCTGCTGGCTCCTACAGTGGACAAAGCCGGCAATGGTCAAGAAAACATACATGTATACCTGTATGACTAGTACATCCATGATCATTGTCTCTAGAAGAGACAATGACGAGATAGACACTTCTAGTCATACATACATAGATGTATGTTATGAAAGCCTAGCATTTGCACGCCTGTACGGGTTACCAAAGATAACGTCGGATATCGCTGGGAAGGTTAGTTTGATTTAGAATCATCCTCCGAAACTCCGTTTGTTAACAAATATTTGTTCTTCTATTACGAAGAACGAAAAGAAGAAGAAATGGAAGGAAGAAAAGGTAAAAGAGACTGACGCAAGAAAGACGATGTCAAAGTTACAGAATGATAATACGCAGTGCACGATGACAACCGGTGTGTGTCGATATTGAAAAAATCGAGCGCACGGCATCGTTGTCGTTTTTAAACGTTTTATACTGTGCATGGATGATCCATACGTAGAATCGTGAACCTTGTAAATCTTTCGATACAAAGATATTTCAAATTAAAAATTATATCCATCGACCATTCGTCCTCTAATCTATCTATAGTAAAAATTTTAGCTCAAATAGTTGAACTGTTGCTGAGCAACGATATCAACTTGTTCCATGTAATCATGAGAATCAGGTACTTATATTATCATGTCTATCCACAGTTTTCTCAGTATCTCGAGAAAGGAAAAAAAACACATGAATCTTTGAGTGACTCTGAAAGTGTGAAGAAAGGGCTATAAAACTGTATACTTTTTGTTTTCTCTAAAGGT